GGGTGCTCCGGGGCGGCTGGGGGCCGGTGGCTGCAAGGCTGGCTGGGGACAGCCTGTGTCCAGCCGCAGCTCCCGGACCGCGGGATTGCCGAGCCTGCTCGTTTTTGGTGGTGCGCTCGGGACGGGTACCGATGGTTCTCCGTTTTAGGACTCACTTGCGGTTTTCTGTGAAGCTGTGTATTTGAAGTAGAAGCATATTTGGAAACAGCTTCCGACTGTTGACAGGTAGTTATGCAAATGTAAAAATAAACGGATAGCAAAAAGAGCATCGGCTTTTGCAGCACTTTCCTGAAATTTCAACTTTGGTGAAAGAATCAAAGGAAAAGTTGGCACTAATTTGGACTTGCTGCCTTTAGAAACTATTTTGTTAATGAATGTTATAAAAGTCAGTAGCTCTTAAGACTAATGCGATAAAAATTAACACATTAACATGTTAGGGAAAAAACATGTTTAACTTAAGATTGCTAAGTGGTTATATAATGATTGAGACTGAAACAACCATTATCTGATGTTTCGTTTAAGGCTAAGTCACTCTGTGATGTCGCATACTTTTGAAGTTGTAGAAAAGCTCTTCCTGGACAGGTGTAGAAAGAAGGTAGTAGCAATAACAACACTATTTGTGTGAAAACATATAATGGAATATTAATATAGTATAATACAGTGATTTAGTGACTTTTTTTCCTGTGGCATTACAGTTGCAGACTACTTAAGCAGCCAGCATTACTATTATCGTTGTCTTCTTGAGAATATCTTTAGGAATCTATTTTGATGTTGCTTATGAAGCTGTCAAAAGTGGGAGAGAAGTGAAATGTTAATACATCTTTTCACTGGATTCGAAAAGCGTCGACAAAGGTGTATAATGTTGAGTGTGCATTAAGTAGTACGTTTGCAATGACATGTTCTCTCAAGGGTTTAGGCGATAATTTTCAGTAAATCTGTACAAGCTGCAATGCGACAGTAGGGGACAGATCTATAACAGTGTTTTTTCCTTGAATTTTTGACTGCTCCTTATTAAAATTAGCACATATAGTGTTTTTGTCTGTTTTGGAAAGAAAACGGATTGAAATGATCCTGGCAACAATTGAATGGTTTGGCACTACTTCAATGCAGGTGTATTTAACCCTTTTTCTTATGTTTTCAGGACGAGGATTTGCATTTCGGAGAAAACAAAAGATCGAAAGACAATACAGGAAGTTATTGAAAAAGGGAAGAAAGGTCCGTTCACAACAGGATAATCAGTTTACCGATACTTATCCAGAGCACTTGAAACATCTTTACCTAGCGGAGGAAGAAATGCTTAAGAAACGGCGCAGAGCTCCCAGCGATTCAGTTTTATCAGAAGAAAAACTTAACAAAGCAGTAGAGTAAGTTTTTGAAATACGTCTCTAGAAAAAAGTAATTGTTTCCATCGTTCAAGAAATTTTTTAGGTCTTATATTTTACATGGACCTTCAGTACATGATTTGCTTTACTAAAAAAAATGCCATTAGGTCTTAAATGTTTTTCCTAATTGTTAGAAAATTTAGACATACAGCTTTGTTGTATTTGCATCAGAATCAGAAAGCAAAATTGGTGAAGTTCAGGGCTTGATTCCACAGAAATAATATGACAGTTACCATTGTACTTTAAGGATAGGGTTCAGCCCAAGAGCAGTATGTGTTCGGCCAATTTCTTACCATGTCTACAAAGAGAAGAGCCTGCATTTCAGGTAGTGTGCTTTTGAGTCTACAGAGTTTTCCTTTGAATTGATTCTCAGTATTTTTAAATTAATGTCATTTTTCAGGAACATTTTTTACATTATCTTTCTCTTCCCAGTTTGATAAGTTTTTTTCTTCATATTGCACTGGTTTTATGCTAGAATGAGCGATATTACGTGCAGTTATTCTTTTGTGGTATGGCTAGTTTTGGGGGGATTTTAACTGTGAACTTAAAAAAAAAATGAAAGGGAGGATTTAGTAAAACCTTAAGGCAGTAAAGTGTTCTTGATGGAAGTAATAATTTTAAATAATAGAGATGTCATAATAGTTTGCTAGTGGTGTTTGGGTTTTTTGGGTTTTTGTTTTGATTTAAATTTACTTACAATAACTGGGAAAAGTCAAATGGAGTTTTTAATTTGCGGTCTAACAAATGTCAGACAGCTTAAACCATTTTTTCCCCGTGTGACAATAACTCCCCCTGAAATCTTGATTAGGTATGTCAGTAAAATGAAAAGCAGTAGTCACTCAGGTCTAACATTGTCATGGCAGTGTTTTTAAACAGCGTTCAAGTGCAGTGATTGAGATAATGCCTTTTTGTCCCCAGTACAAGGAGTGCCGAAAGGCTTTGAATCCCAAGGTGTATCTGCATCTAAACTTTCCTGGGAAGAATGTTCGGGAGAGGGGGGAAAGGCAGTCAGATCTAAGCCCAGCAGTGGGAGAAAGGTAGAGTTTTGTCTGGAATAGGCAGCTTATTCATGGGGATGTCTGAAATAGGACTGTTTTTCTTTAAACCAGAGGGGGTTTTAATTTTGCTTAAATTATGTTCATTGTGATTGTAAACCAGAATTAATAATTCTGCAAAAATGTGACTGCTAATCTGTGAGGTGGGGTGATGCGTAGAGTATTAGGTAGACTGCAGTGTTCTGTGGGGATGGAAAATAAGACTTTGGTTATGTAATTCTATTTTAGCATATATTGCAATTAATGTAGTTTTGTACTTCGGAGAAGATGAGGTGTCATTACACAGTATAGCCACAAGATGGAGATGAGAATAAGGCAAAGATTTTTTTTTTTTTTCGCCACAAGATGGAGGTGAGAATAAGGCAAAGATTTTTTTTTTCCTCCTGAAGAGAAAGTGAGTAGATACCTTCACTTTCCTTTTTGATCATCTGTCTGAAATGTCCTAGATGATGATGGCTAGTTCTCAATTTCTTGCAGCGTGAGTAATAGAGTAATCAAAACCTTATTTTGTGAACAGCTATTAACTGTCTAGCAAAGCTTATGTTTTTCAAGTGTGAAATGTCACTGGTTTTGTAATGGCGTTATTGTAAATCAGAAAAAAAGTTTAGAACTAAATAACCAGAAAAATCCACTCAAAGTAGTGTGACAGTAAATGCCAGACAAATGGCACCGGTTTTCTTTTGCTGTTTTCTTAGAAAGATACCTGAGCAGCTTTTTATACTGAAATTGGGAAGGAAAATTCAGTTCCTAATTTCAGAACATTAGGGACAATAATATACCATCTCCTTCAAGAAGAAACTTTTAGAAAGGCTACTGTGCTTTATCACCTTGCCGTGTCAGCCTGACTTCTCTGGCAGGCAGTCTGCTAACAGCTGGCTGTCCTTATGTCTCTGCAGTTGCATCCGTATGTCGGAACTAGAAAGAGATAATACTGCTCTAAGCTAGTGCATTCAGTTTTTCTAGCTCTGAAGAGCGAGTATGATGGGAAAACCCATCTTTTAGGCACTCTCTAAACTTCGTGAAACACCATCCATGTGAAGATCCAGCAGGTAAGGTATATGTGTTACTGAAAGTTCCGTGCAGTCCAGTCTTCAGCGCACTTGGCATTGGAGGAGTTCAGTTTGCTGTGTTTTCATGCTAGACGCCCATTACATGACGGGTAGTGGTGTTGGGTCTCATGTAAGAGTAGTGCAAATAGGTATCCGTTCAGTGTAGAGGGATGAGCCTTGCTTGTCACTTAGGTAATCTGTGTTTCTAATTAACTTCCCCAAAGATGCAAAAAACACTGGAAGAGTGGAAGACTATACTCTGCTTCTGCAGTGGCTATGGGATATATGGTTATGTCTGCTTGGTGATAGTCCGTATCTGGAGTACGTGTACTTTTTCTCATAGGTCAGTTATGACTGAAGGGAAGTTTAAGAAGAAGACGTCCAATCAGAAGGCGAAAGAAGAATATGAGAAAATAAAGGCTGAGCGTGCTAGAAAGAGAGAGGTAAATCTTAAACAGAGATCTTTCTTGATTGTAGACTAGATTAATACCATTTCTGCCTGTCAGTCTTCCATCTGGATCCAAATAGGACCATAGGAGAGGAACACAGGTATTGGTATTCTTTCAGTCTTTTTCAACTTGACAGTAACATTCAGGCATGCGGGTGTTCAAGGTTATCATTGTTTTTGTTCTTACTGTTTTTGTCTTGCAGTTGCCATTAATGGGATTTTATTATGTCAGTTGGTACATCAAGAAAAACTTAGAGCTTGATCTGCGTATCCCAGTGGATTATACTAGGCCTCTTAAAATATTGTAGAAGGGGAAGTAACAACACCACCATCATTTTGTGATGGAAAATGAAATATCCATCCTATTTATTATGGTGGTACCATAACGCAGTCTTCATTTTACCTTTTTATGTGCTTTGACCAAGAGTGAAACAATTAAATGTAATCGTATCCATGGCCGAAATCTTTAGTAATTTTTTCCCTCGTTCTAATTTAATGGGACTTACTCTTACAGGGCGTATCTTAATATTATCATTGTTGAATAACTCAGTTGAGTTATTTATTTGAGACATCCTTATTTAATTAGTTCTGTTCTCTCCCAGTACGTTGTTCGTTGCCCTGTAAAATGGCACACATTGTAACATTGTAGAAGTTGTGTAACTTGCTGCTCACAAACTAAATTTCAGTAATTGCTGTATAAATATTAACATGAATACATAGCTGGATAAAATATATTATTTCTTCAGTTTAGCTGTATTGAAAACTAGAGTAGTTTTATGCAAGCTGATCCGTGATTCTGGGCGAGTTACATGATTGTTCAGCTGCGAACTTCTTTTTTTGAATCATGCTAAAAGAAATCAATACTATGACCACCTTATTTAGAGGAAATAGGAACAAACAAAAACCCAGGAAGACTGCAAGGAATTTTCTTCGAGCAGCATGTAAGAGTTGCCTGAGGGGAGGTGTTAGCATTTTTGGTCTTACTAAAGATATTTAGGCAAAACAAACAGTAGCTAAGTGCCACAATAACAGTAATCATTTATGTGGAATACTGGTATGGTGATCGCATACTTTACCGTCATGTATGTTAGCAAACACTGGATTTACTGTTATTTATTTTGGGGAAAGAAATAAGCTTAAAGGCACAGTTTTGGCCTCCACACTGTATAAAAAAGCTAGGATTTAGTAGAGATCAGAAAAAACACAAACGTAAGTAACAACTACCTAAGAAAGATGAATGTTTTTGCTTTGAGTAAGCATTTGGTCGGTAGCTTAAGTGAATGTTGTTTACAACAGTATGCCAAGCAGCACTGAAATTATTAGATAGGAAGTGAATTACAGGTAAGTTAGTTGATGCTACTCTGTTTTGTTTTGTTTTTTTTAAAAAAGGAATGAATGATACTAATCATTGTTAAGGTGAAATACGTGAAGCATTCTGAATGGAGAGATGTTATATTTGCAGATTTGTTTGTTTTTTTCCCCGCCCCCAGAAGCCTCTTAGATTTCTATTTAGAAGTATTTTCTTGGGTCATTTCTGGTTAATTTTATATTCTACGTCACAGAGCATTCTTACTAATTTTTGTACATCACAGAAGCCAGCTATGTCATGGAAGACAATAACATAATTGTGATGTCTTGCATATTTTGGTAGGACATAAGTGAAGCAAGCTAGTTAGCTTGCTTGTTGTGGATGTTCGCCCAAATTACTAAAATTAGGACACTAGAGAAGGGGGTGTAAGCTGTTTGATAAAAACTGAACGTAGTATCATGATCATTATCCATATAGTGTAACTGCCTCCATTAGTGTCTTGGTTGCATGTGTGCTGTCTCCTCAACACGGAAAGTTTGTACGTTTGGAAATTTGGTTAGGGTTTTTTTTCTCTCTCTCTTAGTAAAGACAGCAGTCTGTGTTGCTTCGAAGAGGACATGTCACTAATAGTTTGGTCCTGATTAAGTTGCCCTGGGTAATGCTGCTTGCGATGCTGTCCTAGTATCACAAACTTGCCCAGCTTCCAGCCCCAGATATGTCCCATATCCTATCTGCCAGTCCCATGCAGATGTGGCCAGTATCCTAGCACATCTGGATCAGCAAGACATTTACATGGGGGCCGCTGGATCAAACTCTTTCTTTCTTGCACTCAAGAGGAGAAAGTGGGAAATTTTTGTCACTGTCATTTAAGGAAAAAAGTCAAGGAGCTCATTTCGCAGAAAGGAAGTAGTACGTATTTTAGTGACGAGCCTTACTGTAGGATGTTCTCCTGAAGAAAACTTGGCTATTCTCTTGAAGCTTTAGGCAATACAATACGTTTTGATTGCAGTATGCGCTGAAAGAGAGTCCTGATTAAGCTTTTAAGTAATGGTGTTTCTAGTGTCAGTACAATACCTAGTTGCCAGTATCTTTACAAAAAGAAATTTTATTGCTTATAGATAGCTTCATAGTTACAGAAGGTATGTAATTGTTTCATAATCCTATCTGTTTAATTTCAGGAAGCAGAAAAAAGAAAACAACAAAGAGAAGCAGCTCAACGATTGTACAAGCAAAAGAAAATGGAAGCTTATAAAATACTGAGTAAGAAGACGAAAAGAGGACAGCCAAACCTAAACTTACAAATGGAGTTTCTTCTTCAGAAAATACAGCAAAATACATAAACTTCTGCATACATCTTAGTTACAGGTCTTGAGTTACTTGTGGACGTTTTATTAATTTTAATAAATAATGTCTTTTTGCTTCTATATGACTTCTGTCATTGGCTTGATTTAGCTCATCAGTCCAATAGCGGAGGATATTCATCCTGAAAATATGTATCCTATGCTGAGAGTGAGAGAGATCTGGTACCTTGAAAACACATGGTCTGTATTTCTAAACTTAAATTCTATTAGCTATGCAATATCCTGAATTCCAAATTGTTAGAGCCTAGTGCCATCTCAACATAAATCTGCATAGTGTAAAGCATTTGTTTTCTAGCTCTAACACTTCCTGCGGTTGTGACTACTAAAATTACGCTTACTTGAGTAAAATGATACATGCGATGTAATTGATATCTCATGAACTGCCAAGGCTAGGAGTGTGTTTTGTGTGCTATCGGGTAGGGTTTGGCACATGAAAACAAAGAACATAAACTATACTTGGATGGCTATTATTTATCCTTCTCCACGAAGAATAAAACTTACCAAAGGTCCAAAAATGGTTTGAATGTGAAGATCGTGTAGACTTAACATATACTTTGTGCTTGGTGACTTATACTTTGGTGATTTATTTTGTTCATAAACTAAGTATAACTTTCTAGCTATGATGGATCAGGTAGATGGGTAGAGGTTTTGGTATGCTGCATATATCAAGTTTCTAATCTTTGTTCTTCAGAACATTTTAGAAAAGGAATTCTTTTAAATCTTGATTTGGAGATGCAATGAGTGATTTTTGGCCTAATAAAATGAAAGCATTCTTAGTAAGACTAGTAAGTTTGCAGTAAAGCAAGTTAACTATTTTCCTTAAGTTTATACAGGAGAATACTATTATACTTTGCCTTTATCTCAGTCTACTTTGGCAGCCAAGAAATAATACTGAGGGTTTTTTTCCATATAGTAAAGACTGTTTAGACATCAAAGTAAGGAATGCCTTGGAGTAAATTTCTCAGGACATGCTCTGTAAGATTTGCAATACATTTACAGTATTACAGTATTAAATTGTTTACTGTATTAAATTATCTCATTTAGAAGTCGATGCCAACTGCAAAAAAAAAATCCTTATTTAAAATACATGGAAAAAATAAATAGTTTTGAACTGTATGACAAGCGCTGTTAAATGAGGAACAGTTTAGGAGTTTGAGTTATCTAAAATGTTTCTTGTGTCAGTATCCTGAGGCTTTTTCAACCTCAGCTTGTTATACTTTTTGCAAGGCTTTGAATCCTTGTGCTGTGATGTCATTTAGGAAAAACTGAACACAAGTCATAAGGTAGTGCACCGACAGAAAATGCGGGCGCTTTTCTTGAAACGGGCATGTCCATTCTAGGAGAGAAAGGGAGTCTAAATTTGACATGCTTACTCTGTTTTATACCTTTCCTTCCATATTTTTTCCTGATAATTACTGTAATTGCCAATTTTGAATGGCTTCATGCTGAAATATTAAAGAGCAGAAATCTGCAAGGTGCCCAGAAAGTGGGAAGGCAAGTTTTGGCATACACAGTCTGTTTCCATTCTCGTCATTCTAGGCTGTCAGCTTTTATTTTAAAAAATGCAAACTGCAACTATTTGCAATTACTAGGTTTTTTTATCAGTAACGCAAAAGACTTAAAAAGTTAGCTTCGTGTACCTTGTGAATAACATGAAACATCTTCCGTGTGAATTCATGGTTGAAGTTCTTCCATTTTTTGTTTGCGTGTGTCTGCGACTCTATATGATCTTTTATCATTCTTTGGCTAAGGAAATGCTAAATACAAGTATTCTGAATTGTCATCTTAAAAAGACCTCAGTTTGCCATCAGTTCACTTACATACTTACTGGGCAGATGTTTGCCATGATGTCAGCTGTCTGGAAAGACTTCGGAAAACCAGTAATTCCATTGGTCAGTGGCCATCCTGGATTACTGGTATCGCTATAGGTACGGGTATGCAGTCTAAGTACCAGTACGCTTTTAGATACGGTGTTTATCTGTAAAGCATTTGGATGAAGTCTCAGTGATGCATTTGAAATCCAGATTTTTTTTTTTCTCGTGTTAAATTGAATGAAAACTTTACTATCAAAATATTCCATATGCTTGATTCTTCCTGGAGAATAGGCTAGGTAATACGAGCTAGTAAGTTAATTACCCTTTTGGTTTTTTCATTCCTCCTTAGCAACAAGAAATCTCGGTTGTTGATCAGTGGAAAAGAACAGAATTCTGCTCTAAAAAGAAATCTCTATTTTTTTTTACTTGTGTTATTCTCTGGTTTTGTTTAAGAATTAGAATTTTGAGAGAGATTCAGGTTTCATAGTATCTGTTCCACAGTACTGGTCATTAAAATTTAATCTTGCCTCATTCTAACTTTAATTGTTGCCCTTCTCTTCAGTCTTTATTCTGTGTTCTTGGTGATAGTTAATATGAAACAGACCAGGTTTATCTGATTTTCCTGAAGAGGCACCTGAAAATGCCTCCTTCTTCCCTCAGCGCTTCGGATAACCTGATCAGGCAGAGCACTGTCCTGGTTTTGGCTGGGATGGAGTTAATTTCCTTCCTAGTAGCTGGTACAGTGCTGTGTTTTGGATTTAGGGTGAGAACAATGTTGATAACACACTGATGTTTTAGTTGTTGCTAAGTCGTGCTTACACTAG